GTGAATTTGTGGTACAAGGAATGGTGGAGTAGTAGTTGGTACAATTTTCTGGCTCCATTACCATGTTGTGGTTTCTCCTTTCTAGAGGCGTATGTGGTTTTCACAGGCTTAAGGGAAGTGGGAAGAAACAGCTAATGAGCTTTAGGATCAAAAGTTTGTTGTTAAGTCTCATTAGATGGAGAGGTATGATGCCACAGCCTAGTTGACTTAAAACCTTTGCCATATGCTTCCTCGCCCTGTTAGTTTCTGATCATTTTGTTGTCAGTGTTACAGCACTTTGTCACAACTTGGGTAAGTGGTTTGGTCATGGGATCTGGATCCCAGATGAAGAGGACAGAGATTGCATACTTGTAATCCGGAATAGGGGTCTGCTTGTGGGACCTTGGAATGCCATTTGATCATATCCAAAGTTTCAAGTAACCACATTCTGGCTAATAATGTATTCCTTACAGATATGGACCCTTACTCAAAATCTTACTCAAAATGTCTTCTCTGTGGATCAAATACTCTACAAAATTTATTCTAAAAGATAGCCTTATGGGGAAATTCTTGATAAATTACACCTATGTGATCCTAAATGGAATATTAACTTTATATATCAGTTTATATATTGTGAAATTTTATAATCGGCAACTTGTGATACACAGAAACACTATCGGAATAGTGTAAGATCATTCATTTCTGGTATAAAGGATATACAATTGAACATGAGTGATGAGTGAGGAAGAACTTGTGAGGAAAAGGAACTTGAGATGTCCATCTCGCTGAGAGTCCCTGGACATTATGTTCTGTGCTTTTCCTGGTGTTGCATCTTCCTACATGACAAGATGGATTCCTCCTCATTAGTGTCTCACTTTAAAAGATGACTTCTTTTCTGATTGATCTTCCCTGCATATGAAGAGGGTTTGTGGCATGTACTCTAACATTGTGCAGTCCTAGAAAAGAAGATATAAATTGTCCAGAATTCTTTAGGTCTTTCTCTTTTCTTAATGTGGAGATGAAGCTGGAATATTCTGCACTGATCTACTAGCATTAGACAAGACAGGGACTGTTGCCTGACAGCTAGATGCAAGGAGTCCAGCGTTATACACATTTTTCTTCCACTCTTTCTGTTCTTGCTCTTTCTGCAGCATTTGTCATCTCAAAGGTCTTCAACCCATCATTGCTTGTAATTTCTTTAAAACTCTGCATCCTATTCTGTGCTCCTATAACAGGGGTCCTCAAACTTTTTAAACAGAGGGCCAGGTCACAACAGCTCAAACTGATGGAGGGCTGGATTATAATTTGAAAAAAGCATGAATGAATTCCTATACACACTGTACATAATTTATCTGTAGTGCAAAAACACTTAAAAACAATACAATAATTAAAATGAAGAACAATTTTAACAAATACAGCCTTATTAGTATTTCAATGGGAAGTGTGGGTCTGCTTTTGGCTGTGGAGATAGGATTGTTGTTGTTGTTGTTGTGTGCATTCAAGTCATTTCAGACTTAGGTTGACCCTGAGTGGGGGCCGGGAAAATGACCTTGGAGGGCCGTATCAAGCCCTTGGGCCTTAGTTTGATGACCCCTGTCCTATAATCTATGTTTATCATGTAATTATATATATATTTCATTTATTGTTTGATTTTCTGCTTCCTCTCACCTTTAAATAGATATTTAAAGTTATTATGAATAGCAAAAATCAAATAAAACAATTCTGATTTATAAAGTTAGATTGAAAACAAAATTAAAGTACAGCAACACAGAAACAATTCCTTTTGACTGGAGTCCATCTTAGATGCCAAAGTACTATTTTTTGGAGGCAGGGGATTGTACAAATTCATTATCTGTGGTTGTACATTCCTAGACTTCACATGGATACATGAAACCACAGATATTAGTAAGCCCTATTGAAGTGAAGGATTTCCAGACTTTGAATACCATAGAGTCATACTAGAGGACCTACAAAGTGAGGGCATTTTTTTGGACATGGATAAATGAAGTCACATATACTGGTCCTGTGGATATGGCATCCTATTGTACTTGACTGACTGAACAGGGAGAAGGATAGCTGGACTACCTTGATAGAGAGTTCCACAATCTAGGAATGGCCACTGAGGAAGCTGTTTTTCATATCCTCACTAGTTGTACCTCAGAATGTGACCAGACTGAAGAAAGGTCCTTTTCTGAAGATCCTCAGGGAATAGGGATCTTCCCATAGGACTTTGTAGATCATAACCGGATAAATGTAGGAATTGTAGATATTAACCAGAAATTTTGGATTGCATATTGGAATAATCCTGCTGTCCTTTACTTGCTAGTAAAGGCATAGCCTCCAACATTTCACAGAAATTGAAAATTGGAACACATCAAGCAGTAGCAGAGTGTTGAAAGGACACACAAGCTAAGAGAAGCTACAGCAGTTTGATTTCACTTGAAATTCCTTCAGGGAAGGAAAAAAATATGTCTCTTCCTTTCCTCTTACCCCTACTGAAAAGTGCCATCTTACAGGTTTTGGTCACAGCTTGCAGAAATTGAAGTAAGGTGAGGACAAAGGGAGAAAGTGGGAGGAGGAGAGAGAAACTGGGACATTTTGAAAGCATTCAAAAAGGTGAAACAACCAAAGAGTAATCAGGACCTTTCCTGCAAAATCAGGACAGTTGTAGGGTATGGTAAAGGAACAGATGGTTATTAAAAGCCCAGTGTAAATCTGTCTTTATTACATTTTGCTTCGCATGTCCTCCAAATGAGATAAAGGTGGCGTGACTCACTTGCTTCATATTTTCCCTTGCTATATTTCTTCAGGATGAGCAGCCCAGCCCTCTTCAACTCTATGTACTGCTGGGATCAGATAACTTACCATCATCGTAGTACTTTTCACAGCACTGTGCCTCTATAGCTTCAGTTTTTCAGTGAAATGGCTAAATTGACTGAAGTCCCAGTGCTTTCACTTAACCAGCATGTGGGGTGCAGCCATCATCATAAATGAATCACTCCCCAGACTAATTCTATCCACGGTATAGAAATAACTAAGATAATATTTACTCTCTGTTTATGGCTTTAAAAAGACAAGGGATCTGTTGTTGCAGTGTGACTACCTATTTCTTGATATGTTGACTTCTTAGATTAGTTTGCACCGAAGGGGTGTGTATGTTTGTTCATTGTAAAAAAAAATATGAAAAGATTATCATTGGTAACAACTTTACTCAAAAAGCAAACTTATGCATGTGCACGTAGATCCATGAGGCATTGATGGGAATGTGTGTATAGGGTATATGTGTGCCACAGCTGCTTCAGAATATTTTGCTACCGGAGGAGAAGAACAAATTCAACATACACCCAACACACACAGAAGACAACTGGGTTGTATTTGTCTTCTGTCAACATTGTCTGAAGGGGTGTGTTACTATTGAATATTAGGGGTTGCAGTTGTAGGGCAACCCACAGTGGATTTTACTGTCTTGTAACACTTCATTGATATTTTCCATTCCTCAGCATCTGATACCTAAAGTAGCTGTCTCACTTTGCCTGATGGTAGGGCTGGTTGTGAGTCTTATGTGGCTATCCTTCATTTCATTCAGCTGAACAATATTAACTTCTATTATTTTATTTTTTTTGCAGTTGCTTTCAAGTCTGTATCTTCCCCATTTGTCAAGCATTGACATTTTAGATATGTATTTGAATGTATGTCATTATTACATGTAAACCTTTCAAAGCGTTACTCAGTGAGAAGACTAATAAAGACAAACAGTTGCCTTGAAAGATGGCTTTCTCATTTTTGCCAGTCTTTGCCAGCAATAAAAAGCCAACATTTTCCTGTATGGTATTACAGATTGTGCTTTTGGCTCATTGAAGGCAACAACCAGGAAATGTGAACTGTGTTCCAAATATATCTCGGAATCCTTTACAGCTTACTATTTTTCCAGGACAAGTGCTTGAGAGAAACAAATATAACAGATCAGTGCTAGAAAAAGTTCTTAAAAGTTACAAACCACTGATCTATTGACTTCCTTGGACTTGTGAAGTTGCCTACTCCTTTTCTTCCTTTAAAAAAAAGAAGAAAGCAACCGCTCTACTATAATCCCTGTAATCTTTTCTACCATGTTTTGAAGCTTCAAAGTCAAAGTTCAAAATATGTGGCAAGAAGAAAAGAACAATTTTAATCATTTTTCTGTTGTTAAACAAAATAATTTGTTTTAGATCATTTTCTTAGTGGGTTGTTGTAGGTTTTTCGGGTTATATGGTCATGTTCTAGAAGTATTCTCTCCTGACATTTTGCCTGCATCTATGGCACGCATCCTCAGAGATAGTGAGGTCACCTCACTACCTCTGAGGATGCCTGCCATATATGCCGGTGAAATGTCAGGAAAGAATACTTATAGAACATGGCCATACAGTCCGAAAAACCTACAACAACCCATTGATTCTGGTCATGAAAGCCTTTGACAACACATTCTCTTAGTAAAAATGTTGCAGGAGATAAAGCTTTCTTTGATACAGAAGAGGTGATGAAGGGCTGGAATAATGTTCTTCCCAGTGGGCTCAGACAAAAGCAAACTGCTTCAGTCACTCCTGGATTGTGTGTTCTTCCTCATACATAACTCTTGCCATTTTGATCATACTCTGGTTTTGCTTGGCCATATATGTTTCCTAATCTTAAAACAAACCAGAAAGCAAAACTATGATAAAATTATCCACAGAACCTCTAGGAGAGATTCAGAGGATCATTTTTAGTGAAAAGTGTGTTCAAAAAAGTGTTTTTATTAATTTTATCCGCTATTATTTGTTAGAGCAGTATTAACATTCCTGTTTGAAGAAGGGTTGGGGGCCCACCCTTGCACTAAAATAAAGGTTTTATTGAGAGGCTGACTCAAGTAGGGGTATGGGAGTATACATTTATTTTGTTAGGTGACTAAGCTAGGATTTTTTCCCCTTCATATTCCATTATTACACTTCTACATGTTATATTTAGTTTTCTTTCACTTGAATATGACAATTGTCTTTTTCTCATTATAGGAGATTGTCAACTTTAATTGCCGGAAGCTTGTTGCCACCATGCCACTTTTTGCAAATGCTGACCCGAATTTTGTAACTGCCATGCTCAGCAAACTGAAATTTGAGGTGTTCCAGCCTGGAGATTATATTATCCGGGAAGGAGCTGTGGGGAAAAAGATGTACTTCATTCAGCACGGTGTTGCTGGTGTTATCACTAAATCCAGTAAGGAGATGAAGTTAACAGATGGCTCCTATTTTGGAGGTGAGTACAAAGGGGGAATTCATCATGTGATATGGGAACGTGAATGTAGATTAGATAAATGTGTATGAAACTGGGAAAGGTTATGAAGATAATGTGGATATCTGGTGGATGTGTTTTCCTTTTCTTTCCAGAGATCTATGGCAATAGCATACAAGATCTGAAATACTGTAGAATTTTTCTACAGTAGTCATTGCTAATTTGTGACATCTGTGTCCCCATATAAGCTATCTATATGGTCGTATAAGTCCCCATGGTCTTATAAGTCCTAGTGTAAGTCACTGCCCTATTCTCCCTCCATATACTGTAGCCTGTACTGTGCTTGGTTTTTGAAGAAATGAACACTTCAGAGTTGCATGTGTGAATTAATTCCCTATTAAAAGTGCTAGATTAGATCCAGGCTTGAAATACATGAACACATTACCAACCCCAGAGATTACTTCGGTCCGAGGACCAAAATTTGCTTGAAGTCCCCAACATCCGGACTTATCATCTGTCCTCTACTAGGCAGAGAGCTTTCTCGATTGTGGCCCCTTATTTATGGAATGCCTTGCCAGTTGAAACCTGAATCATCCGAGAGCAACTTGCCTTTCGGAAAGCTTGTAAGACCTTTCTTTTCCGACAAGCTTTTGATGGGTGAATAACTCAGGACTATGTCGGTTCTCGTTTTTATTGTATTTTAAAGTTGGTTGTATTGTTTTGATCTACTGCTGTAAACTGCTCCGAGCCAAATTGGGAGTGGCGGTATACAAGTCAAATAAATAAATAAAAATTATTAATTAAAGTCATGCTGGTTTCAGTATGTCTTCCCTAAGCACATCTTAGGTCCCATCTACACTGACCATTTAATGCGGTCAGATAACAAACTTCCACAAAAGTGCATGAAAGAAAGCCCTTAATGCACAGCCATGCTCTGTGGTTTGTGTAACCACCATCTAGGCCACAAATTCATTACACGATTTCCTTTGTAATTATCTGCATACTGAAACTATTTTCTTTAATATCAGTTTTAAATTGCACTAAATGGTCAGTGTAGATAGGGACTTAGTCCAGACACAAACACTATATTTTAATGTGAAAACAGCTATTTAAGTATTGTTTGTGGAGTTCGATCTGTGTTGACATTAATTTGTTGAAATCATGACTTCATGCTTCAATCACTGATATAGAAGTATGCACGTATGAACTACCATAGATACTCTTGTATAAGTCAACCTCAGGTTAATATCAATGGTCATTCCATGGGAAAAGGAAAGTACCAGCATTACTGCTACCACCATTATCATTTTACTTCCCAGGCATTCAAAAATGTCAAAAGCAGTGGTGGGGAATTGGTGAAGCAGGGGTTCCTCTGGGATGGTCTAAGATCTCACCTTTCACCACTCTATTCAGAATGTGTTCCTTTTTGATAAGAATTTTGATAAAAGTTAAGGTACAGTGCTTACATTGACCCATAGATAAGTTAGCCCAATATCTTCAGGTTGATTTTATTTACTAAAATGACTAGATTTGTGTATAATAATATATAGTAATTTCCAGATTCAGCCTCTGTATTGCAATGACACTGATCACATGTTACCAAGTGCAAGAATGCCTACCACAGTAAAGAAATGTAGAGGAACCTGTATTAGAACATCAGTGCTTGAGTATATGCCATGCCCTTATTTAATAATGAACACATACAAAGCCTCCTAAGGAAGCACAGTAACCAAAACAATGAATATAACAATTCCTGGGGTTATAGTAAAAGGGTTTCTTTTCCCCCCTCATATCTCTTATTTCAACTTGGTATTGTGTCATTGAAGCAAAGTCTTACAATAAATTCTCTTCTAACTTGATCTTGGCCAAGATAGATAGATGCTTTGTGCACCTTTTAAAAAGACAAGGTGCACAGAAACCCATTAGCATAATATCATTTTGTATGGAAATAGCATTTTGATATCCAAGCACTTTCAATTTGATGTTTCGCCCACATCTATTGCAGTCATCTTCAGAGGTTGTGAGGTTAGACCTCACAACCTCTGAAGATGACTGCCATAGATGTGGGCAAAATGTCAGGAGAGACTGCTTCTGGAACATGGCCATACAGCTCAGAAAACTCATAGCAACCCAGTGATTGCAGTCATGAAAGCCTTTGACAACACAATCTCTAAGGTCTTTGTAAATTAACCCAAAGTAGATGCATTCCATTTCACATAGCTGATATGTGATTTAACTGAAATACAATTAGCAGCTTTAATGCTGGAATAATTAGAAAATAAATGTATCAGATGCTGAAAAAAATTTCTTTATGCTTTCTTACAAAACTTAAAGTTACAACTTTAAAAAAACAGGTGATAAAAGTTGTTGTTTTTTTTGTCATATCAGGAGAGACTTGGGAATCTGCAAGTCACTTCTGGTGTGAGAGAATTGGCCGTCTGTAAGGACGTTGCCCAGGAGACGCCTGGATGATTTTTTTATGTTTTTTATCATCCTTGTGGGAGGCTTCTCTCATGTCCCCACATGAGGAGCTGGAGCTAGTAGAGGGAGCTCATCCGCCTCTCCCCGGATTCAAACCTGTGACCTGTCGGTCTTCAGTCCTGTCAGCACAGGGGTTTAACCCACTATGCCACCAGGGGCTCTGATAAAAAGTTGAAAGCATTACTTTTGTACATTCTGATGCCCAGGAGCCCTAACTATCTTACTTGCTGACTCTGTGTAATCCAAAAAAGTTACTGGCTGTGAATTTCTAGGAGTTTTAGACCAAGAAAGCAACTTTCCAAGTTCTGGATAAATGTTAATTTAAAGTCAAATACATTCAGATACATGGCTGATAAATGTATCCAAACCAATATTGATAATAAATACTTCTGACATAAACATGCAGCACTGGGGAAAAAAAACATAAGATAGTATGGGTAACTGTGGTGAGTTTAGGAGCTAACGTTCTGCTCCTGAGAGCCTCCAGGAGCAATACAAACTACCAAAAATGCCACCAAAACCCAGCAAAAATTGTGGGTTCTGTGCCTTGTATTTAGGAAAAAACTTAGCAAATAGACATGAAACTTTGCAGAGTTGACAAATTTGGTTTGAAGAGGGTTCATACCAGTTTTGAAAAAAAGAAAAAGAATCAGTTTATTTATAGAATTTAACATTTGATGAATGACTTCCAGCAGCCTGAAGGTATTGTTGCGGTGCAGGGTGGGAGGGTCCTCATAGATTTTACTGAGGTTAGGCTTTGGGAGATTATTTTTGTATGAGGTCAAAAGGACTATCTTGTACATGCTTTGCTCTCATAGCAATATAAAAGTGTTTTAAAGTAAAAACCCACTTATGGCACATCTTACTAGATTGTAAACTGGCGATGGCTCTGATTCTTTTAATGGCTATGAAGGACCAGATAACAAGCAACACCAGTTTAAATTATCTCTTTTACAAAACAATTAAATATTGTTTTCATTCTGGCAACCTTAACCTCAGTTTGTACCTGTTTGCCTTCCAACAGCCTATGAGTTAAACGGGAGGTAAAGCTTATTCGAGGCATACATTTTAGTCTTGAACACATTTGAAAGGGCTTTTGTCAAAAGTAGCACAATTGAGTGGAACCTTAACAGATGTGTATATTGGGATGGACGTATATCTTCAAATTCCACATTTTGAATCAAATGGAAAGCTGCTAACAGGACACACTAAATCAGAATATTTATTTATTAATTGCATTTCTATACAATCCTCTATGTACATTGAGGGGGAAAAAAACAAGTTTGATAGTTTACAAGCCTAGGTGCCTAAAAACCAGCACAAGGGAAACAACAACGTAGAGAGAAACAAAGGCAGGTGGTAAATCAAGGAAGTACATGGAACCATTCAAGTTACACATATTTCTTCTTAATCACAATAGTATTGTGTATCTCTGTATTCATACACACACACACACACACACACTTGCTGGTTTTAGCATGCATTTTATGAAATATACTGTAGTCAGGGCAGGATAAACAAGGCCGAGCAACCAACCCAGAGAGTGCAAAGACCTGTGTCAATAGGTTGTAGAACTGGACTATTTCCTCTTTCTAACCTCCTCTTTCCCTGTTAACTCAGTTGCCCTTGGGTTCATTGGAAGTTGAAGTCCTGTGATCTATGTTGGATCTGACATGCTATTCCGTTCTTAATCTATTCAGCCTGTGGGGGCGAGCATTATCCTTTGCTTCAGAGAGCAACAAAACTTGGTTTGGCCTCCAGTCCAGCCAAAATTGGGTAGTTACATATTTATTAGTCGTTAAATCTTTCTGTTGATTCTAAGGCCTGAGGTATGAATGTGGGCACATCCTGTCACATTTAATAAGTGAATGACATGTTGCTGCAACAGTGCTGATTTAGAATTCAGCAGAGCCATCTTATCAGCCGGTCAGCAATAATGCCCATTCATACAAATATAGAGAGCTTTCAGAGAAATACTGCAGTTGTCTTGCATCATATCCTAATGTTTGTCATTTGGTACATTTCTTCTGAAACCCAAATGAGGCATGGCATGTAGTTATGGGTATCACTGGCAATACTTTTGTTTTGGGCTAAAGGAGCTTTAGTATAACTACTTAGTGGATGAGAGCTGCTTAATGTTTCCTCTTGGTTTCCTTTTTGCTCAGAATCACACATGTACACACACAACGCTCTTTTTCACTCATAGCTGGGAAATGTAAGGTGGAGCAAGGTGTACCTCCTTTTCTATTCCTTCCTTTAAACATTCAGTTTTATTTTCATGTCATGTAGTCATCATAACTTCTTCATGCAAGTAGTATGTGGAAAAAGGCAAACATTACTGGCCCCAAACCCCAGAGGCTTTTCAATGTGAAAACCAGCAGCTCAAGTTAGGATATAAGCAGATGGAAGCAAAGATGACATTATTTCTTTACATGGTCAAAAGTTTGGGTTTATTCCAGCAATGTGTGCACTTCATTCTGCACCAAATAATGTTTCCAGACACGTTCAATTGCACCCCATTAAACCAATCCTAATGTAATTGG